CCACCCCTGTGGGCAAGGGCCGCAACTGTATTCTGAGGAGAGATTTGAATTGATACCTACAATTATTTGGTTCATAACACATCATTCACATACACACCGAGATATGAGCAATCAGGTATGTAACACCCCCCACAACAGGCACAGACCACACACACTCTCAGAGAAGGTGCAGCTTCTCATGCTGTAGCTTATGTGTCCATAGGAACCAAACTCATACCTGAAATGTCCACTGTGTATGTCCTGGCAACCAGTAAATAAAGTCATGTTTTAGTGGTAAAATTGTTTATATCATATAATAGCAGCAGGATATAGCCAAGTGACCACAAGAGTGTGGAGGTTCTGAATAACTTTTATTCCTGTTGTTGGATATATTGACCCTCCACATTGTCATTATTCATGAACAATATTCATCAATTATCATTTGATTTTATAATATATATCCTACCAGAAAATGTGTTACCTTTTTTCCAGTCTAACACATATACATTACATAAACTATATTAACATTAGAATTGTGGAATCATTGTGTACCTTTCTGGATCTTTGTTGCTGGGGAGAAATCATCTGGCTGTAGAAATAGTAGGTAGAAAAATACAAAGTAATCCTTATAAATATCATTAGTGTTCTAAGTAAATAATAATCACTATAATAATTTCTCTAAGTTAGAATTGTTTCATGTTGGAAGAGTTATAGTAATAATGTATGATAATTTCCCTGAAAATTAATAAAAGAATAAAACTTTGGACAGAAAGAGTATAAAAATTCAGAGTCAAATTTCATTGTCTGCTACAATATGTCATTACCAAATCTCAAATATTATTTCATAGTTTTCAATAGGTTCTCTCATTCTCCTAAAGCATGACTTTAAATCATGATAACTACACCATTCCATATATTTATAACTTTGAGAAGCTTTAATTCAACATTTAATTAAACTGATACATAAGATAATAATTTCATTAAAGGCACTGACAATCATTAAGTGAAAAGTCCAGTATAATGTTTCATAAATTTACTTACGGTTTTAACAATCACGGACACAATAACGCATATCAGCACAAGGAAGGTGAGTCCCAAAACCCCAGCTGTGCACTTGTCGAGAGGAGCCGGTGAGCCTGCAGGGAGAGAGATGGAGACCGAGAAAGGAGAGACCGAGACAGGCGTTCACTTCATTGATAAGAAAATCTTCATTCACAGGGAGTCACGTACATAGATTTGACACGGAGATAGAGGTCTCCTGCTTAGTTTAAGATGTACATTAAATATTAATTGTACTATCATTGATATTTTGAAAATCATTATTTACCTTTTGTCGTTCTTAATGTTGGCAAATATTTCTGCTTCAGCTTTATCGAAACTAGAAAACATTTAAAGAATCCTTGTAAAAGTTCATTGGTTTGAATACATATATTTTTTGTAGTTTCTAAATTTCAGATGATTGCTTTAGATTAGTTTAATCTTGAATAAAATTTATATTAGAAATAAAATTAAAAATTATAAACTCAAACATAAGTAATCAATTCACCACATACTAGAAACTTACTTTAACATATCTCAAGACTTAATTTGCATTTTTGATATGATATTTAAGTCTTTGAAGCACGTTTTTATGAAAATCAGAATATATCTGATATATTCCATCCTCTACATAATCAGTGTGTCTTTATAAATTTATTACAAATATAAGTATACTTTGTAATGCAATTTTATACAATAAATATATAAAAATAAACATATTTTTATAAATATATGCTTGTAAATTTAATACTTTGGACAAATGTTGAAAAAAAATACTTTTTTTTAATCATGTAATTATCAAAGCTATTTTACAAAACATTATGAACTTTAGAGTAACTGATATTCTTTTAGAGCATTAAACATCCCGGGAATATTTCAAAAGTTTTCTCACAACCAATGAGAACTATGATTTTTACGATTGTGGGCACCAAGACGATCCCCAGGTCCTCAGCAGCAATCATCTCTGGAGGTGAGGGCCAGTCTGCAGGGGGAGAAATGGAAACACTGAGAAGAGATGAGGCAAATGCTGACAGTTTGCAGACCCGAGACCAGCCTGCGCAGGAGTCACACGTGGGAGGTGGATCCCAGACCCGCATCTCTAGTTGTAATCCAGCCGCCAGAAATTATATCGAGTTTTCAGTAAACATAATGCTCCATGAGTTTTGCCAAAGATTCCAAAACCAATAATGCAAGACCAAAATTATTCTTCTCGTTTTAGATTACCATGGCATATTCATATTTCAAACTTCAACGCACACCAGAATATGTGATTTTATCCCCTACTCTTTCCTACATCGGCACCCCGATTGCACAGGTCAGAACAGTTGCACGCGTGTCTAGTAAATATTTCAGTTTTGCAGGCCAGTACTTGTCATTCCTTTGAAGATCCTGAAAGTATTTTGAAATTTTATTTCCCCAGAGGTTATCTGCTCTTCTGTTGGTGAAAAAGCTTCTGTGCTCTTACCCTTCATTTGCAGCACCCTTGGGTCCAGATTCAGTGCCGGGGAGTTCTCCGTGCGGTCGTTCACTCTTGCAGCTGGGTCGTCTCAGGGACGGTGCTCCGACAGCTGCAGGTGAGTCCTCACTGACCGCCCCCAGGATGGCCAGGGCCCTGGTGCAGTCGTGTGGGCGGAGCAGGGAGAATAGTAATCTCATACTGCAGTTGAATCATGGATGGCTGAGTGAAATTTCCTCATAGCTTAAAAAAGTTTTACATCATATAGAATACTTTAAAAACTAATACTTTAAAAAAACTACTATTTCATTCTTCACACAATTCTAATGGTTGGAGGAATACAAGACAAAATATTAATGTGGAAAAATTTATAATCAATAACATCCACATTAATATGAAGTCATCACCAAGAAAGTTTTAGAAACTATTAAATTAACTGCTAAAGCGCAATGTTAGGGGAAAAAATGATGTGCTGACTTTAATGATTAAAGAATTAATATTCTATAGTATGTAACATTTGTGTTAACATATGTATTAATTTTGTATAGTGCAAACATTTATTTTTAAAAGGGATGAGTGGTTAAAAACTGATAATTTTTTCTACAAATACTATAGAGTTTTAAGTAAATGTTAAGTTTTAAAAATATTTACTATATGAAAAATAATGTTTATTAGCTTCTTGAGATCCTAAACAATATTGGCACGTCAAACATATAGAAATAGCATTGATTGGCTACACAAACTTTATAAATGAGTGAATATAAAAGATAAGAATGTATAAAATGATAAACTAAAAATCATTTAGGGAACAATACTATTGGTTCAAACATCCAGAAGGACTATAATTGTATTGAGAACTGGAATATACCTGATAATGTAATTTGATAATTGAATCAATGAACTCCTCAAATGTGGAATTAATTCTCACTTTGGAGCATACAAAATTTACATAGTATCACCAATTTAACTTATAAATATAAAACTGGAATAAAAATATGTAATACATGTAAAACACATAACATTCAAACTTCCCTTTTAAGCGCTGCAATACTTATTTTGGATTCAAATCATTTAGAACACTTAGCCTACTTCCTTAGGCAGGAATATCTTTTATCAATGTGTGTATCTTCTTGGCAATATTTAGTTCAATTAAAAAAAGAAAACTTTTCAGAGTTTATAAGTAAGTTAAAATTTTGTGGAACTAAGTCATCCTCAGTTGTATGAAATATTGAGTGGGGTTTATTACGGTTAATAAAGTGGATAAGGAATTACATTCATTTGGCCTCCTGATTAATGAATTCATTTTAAGGATCTATGTATAAAAACTTGACCCAACAATAAATAATATATAGAATTATATTGTTCCGATGGCAAATTCCTAATAAACTTCCATTTTGTAAAGTTACAGGATTTCAGATAAAATTGTATTGATTTAACCCCACTTCCGTTTGTATATATGCACTTGAGTAATTATCCTCTAAGTAGTAAAGAATTTGAATATTTAACACACTCTTTTAAAGGTAGCATAGTTATAATTATCTACCCTGAATTATTCAATAAAGATAAAATCCTCTATAATGTTACTCCCATTCAATTGTGGCATCACACACAGCATTTGTAATCAATGATGGATGGCAGAGACAGGACAGCAGGAACACATACCTTCTGTTGGCCAAAGAGTGCAGTATCCTCCAGTGGGAGACCTGGTTACTCTTGGAAACAAACAAACCAAATCTGTGGTTTACACAGACTCCCCTGTGAAGGTGCAGAGTGAAGCAACACTGGAAAAAGTAGATTTCTTGTCAAAGTGTCACTTAAACTGAACAGGAAATCCCAGCTATTGTGAAGGCAGTTTCTCATCACACACCTCCAAGCAGAGGAGACTGAGCCTGTAGTGTGTTATTTGGTTTGTCTATTGACAAGTACCTATAAAAAAATTTGATAGAATTTGTCTATTGACAAATACCTATAAGAAAATTTGATAGAATTCTATCAAGAAGCAAAAGATTTAGTCAACTTGGTTGTTAAACTGCTTCCATCTCAACCATAATCCTGAAGTCTAAGACTATAATAGACGTTTTCTTGTTATACAAGTTTGCCAGATCTTGTCATTAGCTATAATTTACTTACACTTTCATATGACAATTCTATTTCATTGGTAACATTCTAGAACCACAATCCCATAAGTAATATATGCGAAGTAATAGTTCACTAATTACATTTCAACTTTCTTATAATAATCATGCTTTTCATTGATTCATTGCCTACTCATAATATAGTCAACAAGTGATTATTTACATAAAGTTTGTACTGTAATAGGAATATTTGTTGGAAGTATGACAAAAGTCAATGTAACTGATGAGAGGACAAAGAGTCAATTTTTAAAATATCACTTAACCAAAAAATTGGGGGACAGAAAAAGTAGGTTTGCAGCTCAAATTGATTTCTCAGTCACTCTAGCTATTATTCAAAGAAATATAAAACATTTCTAGTTTCAAGAGAATTAACAGCATTCACCTAATTGATATAGTAACCACAAAAAGGAAACCCTTAAATGATTTTTTGCATTCAGTGACATGTCTATTTATTTTAAGAGTCAAAGAAATGATCAGAATATATGTTCACAATACCATATAAACTAGAAGGAAAATGTGAAAAACATATTCTTTCTTTTGAAATGAAATGCTCAAAAGGAAAAGGCAGAAATCTGAGCATGCATAAAAGAAACTGAAAATGGGAATCAAAATCAGTGATATTAGTCTAAAAAATGGAAGGAAGAAAACAATAAATGGGACACACTAATGACAAAGTTCAAAATGCTTATTGAGCATGAACAAAGCAAATGTATTCATTGTAAAGATTTAATAACAGCCAGTACACTACTGAATAAAACTTTGAGAACCTAAGATTTTTTGTACCTAAACTATGCATGTGAAATGCATTTTCATTTTTAACAGGTCCACCAGACAATACGCCAGTATTATGAATATATTTTAATGTCTAAATGAAATAGAAAATGAAAATCACCAAAAAGATGCACAGCAACTATTTCCCTTAAGACACTACACAGGTGTTAGAATTACTTTGTTCTTATATAATAGTTCCTCTAAAACAGGTTCACATGCTCAGGTGATAGCAGTTGTGAATAACACTGAATACCACAGTGCTCTTACACAAAGGCTGCCAGGTAGAGAAAAACAGGCATCCTGTTTTATGTAGTCTTGATACAAAACTGTCAAATGTGGAATATAAATCAAAACACAGTGTGATCTTTTTGTGAATAAAAAAGAAAATTATAATTCTAAATGAATTATATACACGATAAAACATACAGAATGATTGGGAAAATTTTATTTCAAAAAGGCAATATATCTTACAGTTGAAAGAAATAAAGATCATTTATTCATAAACATTTCACAAAGTAAACAATTTCTGATTTCAATTGTGCAAAATGAGCACATGTAACATCAAACTTGTAAAAACATTACAGAAGTAAAAAGTGATCAAAATACATTAAATTGGGAGTTAGGATGAAAATGTTACAATAAACTTCACATTTAAGAAGCAATATTGATTGCTGTTTTCCTAAAGTGAGAATACGTAGAGATAATTCATGGCAATATCCATGCCATAGTGGATATAAAACTCTGATCTGTAATGAACCAATAAAAACAAATTATTGACTTGGAAAGAAGAAACAAAGTATGATTCTTTACAATAAAATAACTATTTGCATCAAAATTCATAAGTCATATATTCATATACCAGATGTATATATTAGATTGATAGAATTAATAGTTAAAGTCAGCATAAACATAACAAATAAATCAAGAAGCCAATGTGTGTTGTATTTCTGGTTATAGCAACAAAAATTGTTAACAGACATTTCAGTCATTTTAAAATAAGATGTCATTACAAAATCATAACATCATTTTCCAATGAATTCTGTAAAAATTAAGAGCATGAGAAAACAAATGAAAATAAGAAAGGATTAAAGTTGATATAGTCTGAAAGAACAAAGGTGGCAAAGATGACTAATCTTCAAATAACTTTAAAGAATAAATGTTCCCATATACCATCACAATTTTTTTAAAACTTTCCTGAGATAAAACTCTGATCTTATAAAGCTTAAAGTTAACTTTAAGTTAAAGTTAACTTTAACTTACAAAGCTTAAAGTTCAGCCATTTAAGGTTCATGAATCAAAACCACTTAGCTTATCCAGAGATTGCAAATGTTACCACTCAGTACTCAAAAGTCTTCATCCCTTCAAAAAGAAAAAGGGAACCTATAGGGGGTCAATTCCTCATCCCATCACCCCCAGTCCCTGGTCCCAATCCATACTCTGTGCCTATAAGTTTGGCATTTTATATATAAAGGACTCACACAGTATAAGCTCTTTTGAAGGTTGAATAGCACAAATAAAATGCTGAATAAAAATATGATTTCTGTACATTTTTGCTATGCATAGTCTATTACTTGTTCTAAAATATGTATTTATGCACACAAAAACTGGGGTGCAAGGATCAGGCACGGGGGGAGGTGATCAAAGGTATCACCAGAGAGTGGGAAGAAGAACATGAAGATCTACTGAGACACACTGCCGAGGGGAGCAGTAGGCAGGACAGGAGAGGTCTGCCAGGCCATGTGGGTCACCTCCCCAACTGGGGATGGAACTCATGCTGGAATGGCTGTGGACAGCTTCATAGTACTGTGTTTCAACCCATGGAGGGTGCTATGCATAGTATATTTCAATAATTATTTTGAAAACTAAATGACATTAGACCAAAAACGAAATCAATTTTAAGATGTATTTCTTAAAATAGAAATCTACCCAGGAATCGCACATATTAAAAACACTAGCAACAACAAATGTCAGTGAGGGTGTGATGAAAAATTAACTCTCTTGCACTGTTAGTGGGAGTGAAACTATGACAAACAGTATGGAAGTTTTGTTCCTAGGCTGTTAAAAACAGAGCTACCAGCAACTCCACTCCTAAGGATCTAAGCAAAGCACACAAAAACATTAATTCAAAAGAATACCAGCAGCCCTATGTTTACTTCAGCACTATTTACAAAAGAATACACTTGGAAACAATCCAATGCCTAAAAATAGATGACTGGATCAAGAAGATGTGGTATATACACAGTGGAATACTATTTAGCAGTCGAAAAAGATAAACTCATGCTATTCACAGCAACACAGATGGAGCTAGACGGGATTATGCTTAGTGAAATAGGCCAGAATGAGTAATAAAAATATCAGATGGTTTTGCATGTAGGAGGAATATAGTGGAACCATATAGTTTTTCAGAGGAAAAACTATTAATAATAAAAAACACAACAACACAAAACAAAAACAAAAAGACAATTATGAGTCAGAGACATTCTGCAGGGGAAAGGGGGAGAGAAGTATCAAAAGGAGGGAGGGAAGAGGACAAGGGACAATGGTGATGGTGCATGGGTGATCT